AATTGCATTGGTTAACTGGGAAATCATTGTGTTGGTGCGGAAACTAGCCACGGTATCACAGCCTTAAACCCCATAGACATTGGTCTACGTTGGTCACCCAACTCTGCGGGAATTCTTGCTGAGTGCAATTAGCTAAATTGAATGTCGTACCTCCTCTTGTTTCCAACGTATTTGTATCATTGCCAACTGTTCTGTATTCTGCTTAACACAGGTGATATGATGCAATGTTATAAATATGACAGTGTAAATTTTAGCAGTGAATTAACATGGATTGCTTGTTCGTAATATCCTAATCCAGGGATGAGATTTTTTCTCCGACCATGGGGGATTTCCTTCTCTTTGGGTGGTGTTGGTGGTTACAGCAGTTATGAGATTTTTCGGACTATCTGCAGATTTCCGACTTTTTGGGAGGCAAAAATTCTCATCGTAGCTAATTTCTGTGAAAAGAGAATTGGTGTCTTCCTTAAATAATAACAAGAGGAAGGTAGAACAAAGTCCTGGGTTTAACATGTAGAGTAGGTGTTATGATACGAGGTCATAAATATGACAGTGTAAATTTTTGCAATAAATTTACATTGATTGTAATATCCTAATTTCTGTGAAATGAGGAATGGTGTCTTCCTTAAAAAATAACAAGAGGAAGGAAGAACAAAGTCTTGGGTTAAACATGTAGAGCAGGTGATATGATACGAGGTCATAAATATGACATTGCAAATTTAAGCTATGAATTTACGTTGATTGCTTGTTTGTAATATCCTAATATCTGTGAAATGATGATTGGTGTCTTCCTTAAAAAATAAAACTAGAGGAAGGTAAAAGCTAAGATCTAATAACGGTATATTAAGATTTCAGGTAAAACCAAGTCCTGGGATTTAGCATATAGAGCAGGTGTTGAGGTAGCCTGGCATACCCTTGCCCTGACTAACACTGCCCACTTTAAACTGTTATCCATGGTCAGGGCCCATGTCCTCATGAAACAGCCCTGCATAAGGATGATAGGCACTGAAAGCCAATGCAGTGCTTCTGGACACCAGGGAGGGCAGTGGCTCCCCAGAACATGTATAACTCTGTGTGTAGTACAGTGCCCTTATGAAGAGAAGTCTAAGTATTTGCCTCATAAATGTCACAGGTTCCCTAGCATCAGATTGTCATCGTAAAACACTTAAGGTTTCCTTCGTTCTATGCAGAGTGGATGTCCAAATAGGAAGGGTCCAGCTCTCAATGGTTTTGTTTCCATGTCCTTGATATGCAAGTATTTAATATGATTCTGTAAGTGTCATGAGGTCATGATGAAAGCTGAGATTTTGGGAGAGAGCAAACCCCCCCCCCCCCCTTTATGGCTTTGGTCACCATTTAAATTGAATTTAGATTGAATAAAGGGGAATGTGTGGATTTACAACTACTTTGTTCATGTTTTTAATTTTCAACATTTTTGCAAAATTAATAGCTGCTGATGGAGGTAATTTCAGCAGTTGCATTGAATTTGTTTTCCTTGTGGTGAAATGAAAGTTAATGAAAAAGTTCACAGTGAAATTGGTGAGAGGAGGGACTCAGGGGTCACAGAGGGACGATATTATACTTGTATATTAATGTGGACGGGGAAACTGCAGCTATTAGGTGAAATGCTGATTGAATCGGATGTTTAATTTAGACCAAAGAAATAAGTTTTGGATCACCAGGACCACCAATATAGAAATAGTAGAGTTTTTCTTTTGTAGTGTCAGTCTATGTTTTATCTGCTTGTTCAGGTGAATTTCTGTGTGTGTGATGGGTGTGTGTGTGTGTGAGAGAGAGAGAGAGAAAGAGAGAGAGATCTGAGACAGACATACACATTTAACTGTATGTTACTCTTTTGCAGTGAAAACAAATGAACAAATTTTCCTTGTCCTTTTCCTCCAAGTACTATTAGTTTATCATGCATTGCCTCTCTGATCCTCTAGTTCCAAGTATTATTAGTTAATCTTTGAACTTCTTTGAGTACTTGTGAGGTATAGAAATTATAATATATGACTTTGTGTGAGTTTAGTCCTTATCCATGTCTTTGTAATGATGCCTGTGTTAGCATGTTTGTAGCTGAACTGTAGGCTGATGTTTCTCAATATTCTTCTCCGAGCATACAAAGTATCCAGTGAGGAAATCTAATGGTGCTAATATCAATACATATGTTTTTTCACACAACACAATATTGTAAGTACATGTTTTGTTTGTTCATTCCCCAGCTCCTGGTCTGAAAAGAAAATATCTTATAATACACAGCAGCTTCTGGGATATTTTCATATATTACAGATAGGGATCCCTAAAAAAAACACCTGAAAGTAAGAAAAAAAAGAGGTCATTGCAATTTTAACTGATGTATATCTGAAGCCAAGCCGTTGCATCTGTGTTATTTTACATACTTGAGCCTGGATGAAAATAAAAGATAGAAAAGATATCTTGTAGAAATTTTGTATTTAATCTGATGAAGTCTGTGGTGAGTAGTGGTTAGCAGTTAGCCTTTCTGAAATTGTCCATCTCAGATAAAAGAAGACCGGTGAAGTTTATTGTCAGGTTACCTATATATAAGGGCCATTCTCACTGGCAGTTTTGACCGCGGTTAAGGCCTAATCGCTGTCCTATGAAGGTCAACTTTCCCAACAAATAAAAAAAGTTCCATGTCCACTGCCTCTCCATCTTTATTGTGGTTGATTAATTTCCTTGTTTCAGAATGTATTGAAATTATCTGTTTTAGATTTACATGATATTTCAGTATATATTAATATTATCTGTTTAATTAACCTGGTTTCAGTATCCATTAATAGANAATATTTCTCAGGTAGCTTCCGGACGCGATTTAATTACTGTACCCCGCAGGGACGACGTGTGGGGAGGCGGAGAGACTATTAAAAGATTAGGCGGTTTTTCTTTCATGTACGTTCGCCATTTTTAGGTCACCGGCTTTGTAAAGCCTGGCTTAATTCGTTGAGAATGCACTCTAAGTCGACTTACAACCAAGGTGAATCTGTGAATATGTGAATTATTATGTAATGTCTTGTTGGTCAGTATGGGTCGCTTCTGGTCACTTTGGGTCACTTCCATTGAATGACCATCAAAGTGTGATGTGGTTTGAGATAAGCTGCCCAAGGGGGGTGCGTTTTTACAGTTCATTGCTGATTGGGTTAACCCCTGACCTCAAGGTTTTACCTGTGCAAGGTGTGCACTTGTGGATTGATGTTTAAGTGCATGAAAAAACTGTCGAGTTTTAAAGCCAAAAATTAAAGGTCTACCATTGATTTTGCTAATAAAGTAAGGAAACTTGCCATAGATGTTAGCAGTTATGGCATTGAAGTTTACAATAGATATTGTGGATTAAAAATTTTTTAATGATATATAATTCATATTTTAATCCATTATTCTATAGGACAAAATATGAAAAATATCACCTATCAGGTGCTGCGGTATGCCCTTGGATATTTATCCCTATCCATCATGGTAAACTGACATTTTACCGACTCAAATGGAATTGTTTGTGTTGATCATTTTGTAGCCTTTGGGCTGTTGTTGCCCAAAACTTGAAAAAAATGCACTGCTGGGATGTTGTAGAAAGCTTACTGAACAGGTTATTTCTTCTAGTTAATAATACACTCGTGTACAGACTGAAATGAGTCATTTGATGCCAGTGGCTGGTCTAACAGTAGTGTAACCAGTGATAATGGATATGGGAAGTAAATATAACATAGTGAAATAGATTTTTATGGTCTCTTGTGGTGATGCTAAAAAATTGTCTCTGAACTAAATTATGTATTTTTACCTTTAATGAATTGTTATAAATTGCCATGCCTCACAGGTGGATGAACATGTGAAGTTTCTTTTGAATTTTCTCTTTAATCATCAATATAATGTAGTGTTGGAGAACACTATTGCCCTCACTCTTGGAAACCCAGACTGTGTATTCCTTGGATTATGGCAGGGTACACTGTGTCAGGTGTGAAATGTGTTCTCAGCAATCTCAGCAGTGTGGCCAGGAATGTACAAGAGGAGAGAGCCTAGATGAGGGGCATATGAACTGGGTGGTAGTAGAACTCTCCTATCATTTTCCTATCTTATATTTTTCAAATTTTAGATTTTAGCTTAGTGAACAAATAAACAACATATTTACAAATAACACTAATACGAAGGCAACAGAAGCAGCTAGCAGGTTCCTGGCTTGACTCTGTGTATTGTATGTGTATTATAGTGGTCCGAAGGCTGTGTATGGAATATGTTACCTGAGTATCAAAGGTACGCATCCTGAGGAGTAACCTGCATGAACTGCCCTAAAGGGAACCCCAATAGAGGGAGCGGCCTGATTCAGTGGAAGCTATTGTGCCATTATATGTAATGGCCTATAATCACAATATTGGATCAAGGAGCACTAGGTATTGGGGGGGCAGGGGGGAGGGGGGGGGGTAGGGGGGGGGGGGGCTAGACAGGCCAAACAAGACAAAGCAATCCTTAACAAGCCTGTTGTTTTATATGAGGATAAAACTGATATACTGTGGATCAAGCCCAGTGTCATTTGTTTATTTCAGCATTCCCAGATATGCCAAGTCTGTGTTTATTGTACATATCTCGTTGATCAGGTTCAGATTTAGCACATCTACTTAATAGCATGATGCACAATTTAATTCAATTTTATGAAGCAAATTAATCATCTTTAATTAAATTTAATATGCATGCTATTTTATTGCTGGACTTAAGCAGTGCATCATATAGTGGGGCCCACCAAGTGTCAAAACTGATGGTTTGGCTCTTACCAGCTCTTCTTTAATTGCATCTTGTTTAGTAAATTAAATTAGTATTTATATTATGAATAATTGTTCATTGATTTATAATTGAAACACGACACAAGTAGAACTAACTGCCATTATGTTATCATATTTTATATGCATCCGCAGTATTGAGAAATTGACATTTCATATTATCATTCTGTAGTGTATTTAGATTGGATTTAATTACCAATTGCCATATTTTTTTGCTTTCAGAGAAGACAACCACCACAACCACTACATCTACAACAACGGTGACAACCCCCACAGCAGTTGCCTCCACTAGTAAGATGCTTTCTAGCTTTGCTTTAGTGTTAGTGCATGATATGAATATGAGATAGTTGTATCAATAATCTTATTATAAGATCATTCATGGTTCCATGGAATTATATTTAACATTGATTGTGGTGATAATAATCACTTAGCTTGGAACAAAAAATGATCCTTTTGAGACAAGAGCGAAACAGTGCTGTTGCAGTTAAAATTTTGTTCCAAAGCAAAAAATTATTATCACTAGTTAAGATGGTACAAGTGGTATTTTCATTGCCCTGTAACATTTATACATGGGGTTGTATTTGTGGGTTTAGAATGTTTCTTTTTATAATAGAAAAAAATGTGGGCAGCTGAAGTATTTTAATGCATTTTAGCTGTTGATCACAATGAGTAACAATAGATTGTAGCTATGAGAGAGAGAGAGAGAGAGATACTTGAAGTCCATGAGGTTGCTGGGTGAGATGGTTTTGATAAAGAAAGTCTGTATGTGAAATCTGTTGTCTTACTGTTTGTTTTTATGTCCTTTGTTTGTTTTTTCCCTGATATTTTTCCTCAATTATAGCCATAACTGTATGTTTTTATGTCCTTTTTATTTGCATTTCATCAATTATTAGTAAAGACCCAGTGTTGTTATATTCTTTTTCTCACATTCTGCCTTAATAATTACCCATTGTAACTCATACTGTCATCTTTCTTATTGTACCACCAGCGTTAGCGCTGGCGGTACACNTGATATATATATATATATATAGCCCACTGTCATTTGCTTATTTCAGCATTCCCAGATATGCCAAGTCTGTGTTTATTGTACATTTCTTGTTGATCAGGTTCAGATTTAGCACCTCTACTTAATAGCATGATGCACATTTTAATTCAATTTTATGAAGCAAATTAATTATCTTTAATTTAATTTAATATGCATGCTATTTTATTGCTGGACTTCAAGCAGTGCATCATGCAGTGGGCCCATCAAGTATTGAAACCAATGGATTGGCTCTGACCAGATCTTCCCTAATTGCATCTTGAGTAGTAAATTGAATTAATATTTTTATTTAAATAATTGATCATTGATTTATAATTGATACACGACACAAGTAGAACTAACTGCCATTATGTTATCATATTTTATATGCATCCGCAGTATTGAGAAATTGGCATTTGATATTATCATTCTGTAGTGTATTTAGATTGGATTTAATTACCAATTGCCATATTTTTTTGCTTTCAGAGAAGACAACCACCACAACCACCACATCTACAACAACGGTGACAACCCCCACAGCAGTTGCCTCCACTAGTAAGATGCTTTCTAGCTTTGCTTTAGTGTTAGTGCATGATATGAATATGGGATAGTTGTACCAACAATCTTATAAGATCATTCATGGTTCCATGGAATTATATTTAACATTGATTGTGGTGATAATAATCACTTAGCTTGGAACAAAAAATGATCCTCTTGAGACAAGAGCGAAACAGTGCTGTTGCAGTTAAAATTTTGTTCCAAAGCAAAAAATTATTATCACTAGTTAAGATGGTACAAGTGGTATTTTCATTGCCCTGTAACATTTTTACATGGGGTTGTATTTGTGGGTTTAGAATGTTTCTTTTTATAATAGAAAAAAATGTGGGCAGCTGAAGTATTTTAATGCATTTTAGCTGTTGATCACAATGAGTAACAATAGATTGTAGCTATGAGAGAGAGAGAGAGAGAGAGAGAGACACTTGGTCAGCAGTCATTATATGAAGACCATGAGGTTGCTGGGTGAGATGGTTTTGATAAAGTCTGTATGTGAAATCTGTTGTCTGACTGTTTGTTTTTATGTCCTTTGTTTGTTTTTTCCCTGATTTTTTTTTTCATCAATTATAGCCATAACTGTATGTTTTTATGCCCTTTTTATTTGCATTTCATCAATTATTAGTAAAGATCCAATGTTGTTATACTCTTTTTCTCACATTCTGCCTTAATAATAACCCATTGTAACTCATACTGTCATCTTTCCCATTCTTGAGTACGACAGTCTCGATTCTGTTCATGGAAGCATAGATACTCTCTGTCAAGTTGACTATCACCGCATATAGATTCACACATTGTACTAGCTGGGTCTGTCCAACTCCACAGTGAATTCTCCCTAAAGTGCAATCAGTGGAATCAGCTCAATTTTCTGATAATCCCATCTGGCAGCAAGGGGGTTATTATAAATATTATTAATATTGTGGGTTGATTAAGCTCATAAGACTTCTTGCACTTTAGCGAGAATTCCTGCAGAGTTGAAACAGCCCATCTGGTAGGATGTGTGAATTATCCGCCCAAATAAACCCCTACAGAGTGGTGCTCTGTCCTAAAAACCTCACCCTGTGGACCTGGCAACAGGTCGGATCAGATCTTCCTTAGAATTCTTGTATTTACAGCAGTCATATGGCATTTGCTGAACAAATATTTTTCAGTCTTCATAATATTTTTCACAAGTTTTTCTGGATTTTTGATTAACGTGTTATTTGATGTGATAATCTCTCTATATGGTATTGTTTTGAAAGAGAAGGCTTGTTTTTATGGGCTAGCTTTACCTGCTGTTGACATGAAAATTTCTGTAACACTTGATGATGTTTAAAATTCTTCAACAGCTCATCTTGCACAGAAGTTGCTGAATTTTTTTCTCAAAATTTCCTTGTTTATGTCTGTATCTATGATTCTTGCTTATTGGCATCTTTTGCGTGCCCCTGTTTGGTTAACTTTCAAACTCTTCAAGCATTGTGATAAAATGAGAAAATAATTTTCATATTGTTTGAATTTGTGTGTTTCTGTCTGTTGTATTCGTTTATTTGTCTTGTGTGCACATGAGTAATGTAGGAGCTGTTTTGTTGTGGATGTTTGCATGAAGAAAAAAAGAAAAAAATAGGTGTTTACAGTTCCAATATACAAACATTTAAATGTTTATAATTATTTTGAGTCATTTACTATATTTGGTAAGATGTAAGTTTCAGGTATGTGAGAAAAAATAAATAAAATGCTCAGTGATCAGTGGGAAGTTTGTGTGAAGAAAAGTCACTGAAACACTTGAATAAAAAGATCTGGAGTCCAGAGTTCTCAATATATGCTAAATGTAGTAGCTGAAATACCCTGTAACCCATCTTTACAGCAAGGGAAATTTCACTAACATGAGACCTTTTTATTTGGGTATAGGTATAGCTTGCCCCCTTTTGAATAATACGTCATGTTAATCGGCATGGGTGGGTAATTGGTGGCCAACCCCTGTCTTTAGTCTTCACCCCCACCCCCTCTCATGGTTTGAACCATTTTGCAATGGGGTGGGGTATATTTTATTGACTGCATCTCTGAAGTGCATAAGTGGTGAAACTTTAGCAATTTGGACTTAAGTGAACATTTTGTTATCAAAATTTAATTTAACTGTGTTATACGTATGTCCAGCACTGAGTCAATGTTCCGTAGTATTGTGAAGACTAAAGAGTGCATGGATTATGTTTTTTTTTTTAGAGAGAACAAGACATTACAATTTGAAATCAGTAGACATTTTTAGTTCCATATGTGGTGTCTTGCTCCCTTAGTGCCCTGAAATAGAAGGGAGGGGGCATTATCAGTAATACCACTGATATTTATAATTGCATGGCATTTACATACATTGGAGTTTGTCTTTTGAGAAATGTGGGAAAGTATTCCCAAAGTTCATCACTTTCGATTCTGCACAAATCTCAGCTAAACCAGAGGTACCCTGCAGAGAAATGCAAGAACTCTGGCGTTCATTCATGAAATTTTCAAAAGTTAATTTGGCATGTTGTTAAGGAAATCCAAGTAGCAATACTTCATCACAATGAAAGGATCCAGAAGTGTACAGAGATTTTATTGGCAAATTTTTGTTTTGTTAATATTTTCCTAAATTTAGATTAAAAAAAAAAAAACAGGAAAGAGAGAGTTTTTAACTTGATGAACTTTTTGGAATATGGTCCATGTTCAATAGAACTCTTAATGTGAGATGGTGTTTTATGGGTTACATGCTATTAATTATAATAAACATTATATATTTTATTAAGGACTCTATATATTTAAAATAATAATATTCCTTTTTACAGCCAAGAGCGGTACGGGCACAGGGGAAGTATCTCCCGGTATGGTCTCACGTTGGACTGCTTGCATATATTCACTGTTCTGATTTCTGTGTTCTGTCTTCTTGCTGACCTGTGGTATGGGGGAGAGGGGGGGGGAGTCTTTGATTCACACACATACATACATACACACACACACACACACACATGCAAGCATACATATACGCATGTACTCATATTAACATATATTTACATTAGGTACTTGTGCCTGTGGGTACATGCAGGTGAAGGTAGACAAAGTCAAAGAAGCAGTCTTGTATTGAATGACCGTACTAGTGCATTCACACCTTCCCACGCACACAGGCATACACACACATGCACACACCTACACACGTATATACAAGAATACACACCTTTGTAAACATGTTTTTGTTCTGAATCGGGTGTTGACTCTTAACGAATTGACTCTGAACAATTACTTAATTAAGCTCACTATTTTATGAAGTGTAGGTGTCAGACATTTCCCCACAAGTCAGCATGAACAGAGGTGCGTGGGTGCAGCTTGTTGTGATCCTGTCATTAACACAGGGATGAGATTTTTCCTAGAATTGGTGGATTTCCGACTTTCTGAAAGCCAAAAATATCATTTCTGAGATCGATGCAGATCGGGGGTGGGGGTGGGGTGGCATTAGTGGAGGGAAGGGAGGATTAGATCTGGACCACATGCCATGTTTTCAGATTTTTTCACCTAAGGACAGTCTCATCCCTGCTTAACATGTACTAACTGCCAGTCACACTGCAAGAAAGAAAACAAATCTTTAAAGCTAGATATAAACAGTAAAACAGATTTACAAAACTCCTTATCATTACAAAAGAAATGTCATCAACAATTATGTCTGTAGCCTTAGGTTTAAGAGACCTAAACAACAAAATTTCTCTTTACATATGACATGTGTAACATTAATAGTGAAGATTTGTTATTCTTTCTGTTATGAAAATGGAAAAAAATACTCAGTGTGATTTTGGAAAGCAAATGTTTTGAAAAGCATGTGAAAATTTTCCAAAAATCATTTTCCAAAAGTTAATTTAGAGGGAAAAAATTGATTTGTACATTAGATTGTAAATCTGTTAAGGCACGTAGGAAGGTGAAACATCATTGTATTGATTTCACATTTATATTCAGGGTTATTTGATATCTTCTGTAGCTCTGCATTTTGAGTTTGGACTTGTGCATTTTGATTTGCTGTCTTTTTGCTTGCTGTAGAGGCCCTCGTGGACTGAAAATTAGCACAATATAACATCTATATTGCTTTAATATTGATGCTTTGCTGCAGCATTTAAATTAGGTGGTATTTTTCTTCAGATTTAAGATTTTTCTAAACTGTACTAGAGTCAGACCTGTGTATATTCTGGGTTCCTTTAGGTGATGTTCAATGGTCAACTTTCTGCTTTGTTGTAGAAATATATTATTTCCTTTTCACTGTCGTAATAGGTAGTTGTCCACTTAGAATTTGAAGCTTTTTGGAGTAGTTTCTAGATATGTCTTGTTTTAGTTAGGGTATGTATTATGTGTCATCATTGTTTTTAAAAATAATAGACTCTCTTTTTTAACTCTTGGAGAGTTAATAGTGTGTAATGAAATGGGCATTTATTATATGGATAAACCAGATTGAGTGGTGAAAGTCAAGAAATTGTAAAATTTGTTAAGTGGACTGCAGCTGTGAAAATGTTATGTAAAAAGTATACAGGCACTACTTCTACTTTGTCTCAGATGTTGAAGGGGCCTGTTTCCACTCACACACATGTGCGTGCACGCACATACACATACACAGCTAATGTTGCAGATCAATGCCTAGATTATTAGAAGGACTACCATGGATTTCTGCACTGAAATAGACCAAAAATTTGTCCTCAAAGTTAAGCCCAAATTTTTTGTAATATTTTTCTTTTGTGATGCAGCATTAATGAGGTTGACAGGGTGGAAAGGGCTCATCAGCAAGGGATTTTCTAGTCTAAACATAGCTCTGTCATTGTGTCTGACTTTGCTGAGTTGTTCTTGAGGAGAGGGATTAAAGACCCTGGAGAGGATGCTCTGACAATGATGACATACAGGGAAACATCTCAAATGTCAGGGTATGACCTGAAGTTTTGGCAAATCTGACGTGTTTACCAGATAAAAAAACAAGACATTTGTGATGCCTTTTTAGGTGTGTGTGTAGTGTTGTGAATGTAATAAGGGTAGAAAATAGCTATAGAGAGGTCATGCTTTTAAAAATTAAATAACCTGAAAACATTCAAAGTTGGATAGTGTCTTGGTTTGTTGTAAAATATTAAGCTGGCTCCATTTTTGTGCAACAAAGGAAAAATAGGTGAAGACCTTCAACATTCCCCTCCCCAAACAAGAAGGAAAAATAAAGAAATATGCTGAATCCCATGTTAACATGTAGTTTGTATAAATGAAGTTGTTTAAGTCACAGCAAACTCGGAATTATGCTAGAGCTTGTACAGGTTTTAGGGTATGTTGGTCAACCCACAAGACACCAAGTGAAGCAGCCATATTTTTTGTTTACATGGAGCAGATAAATGCTGGAGTAGGTTTTTTTCACAATAAAGAGGACAGATGACTTGGAAATGGCCCAAGATAAACACCTGTTTAAACAGGAGCACTGAGTGAAGTGTGTCAAGAAAGGGCAGAGGAGAGATGAGCTCCTTTAAGTGGTAGTGATAAGAGAGTTATAGCTATTTGATATATGATAAGGTTAGAAATGTGAACCAGCCACCTTGCCAAAAACTGATGTGTGACTGTTTTGTCAACTGAAAGACTTGAACAGTAAATAAGTAACATTATCGTAGCAATTTTGGTCATCATTTCACAAGTTTTGTCTTGTGACCTTTTTGTAAGGTGATGATACTTCCTGATTGTGTTAGAGAAGCTAAGAGAGGTGAACACAATCTGGTGCCCTGAACATCTCACGTTGTGGATATTTCATCAACCACAAAACCAGAAGGACGAGCCACTATAATAATTTATTCTAGACATGAATAAACCAAATTGTCAAATGAGTAATCTGAAACCCCATGCCTCATAGGAAAAAGACCACATTTTTAGCATGAACACAATCTCTGCTGTACCAGTGAGGTGTTAACATGTAGCCATCGCAGTCACAGTGAAGTTGGGAAGTATATAGTCAGAGAGACTTGGCCTTTCTAATCCACTGACCACATTTAGGATCAACCCCTTAAAACGTTGATATTTATTATCCCTTGTTAAGCTTTCTGGTTTACTGGTTACTAGTCGGACTGAGGTATTAGCGGAACGTGAATATATGTGACAGTCTTCAATGCATAGATACATTGTGTATAGCAATTGTGGAATTAACTTTTACTGTATCTTCATTATGAGTTTTTGAACCTTGCCTTACCATTTTAATTTCCCCCTATTTCATAACCATCACCTCCCCTATTTCAAAACCATTGCCTTTTTTTGATGTACAATTTAATTATTTCTGCCACTGTATTTTGTGTGAAGATTTTAATGGCATCCACACCCCTGTTCTGAACACTCTCACACCTGTATAACCATTTCTTTGCTTTGGTTGGATATGAAATTGATATTTAACATGGAAATTAAAACCGAGTTAAAGGCTCCCAAAAATCCGCTAATTTGATTTTACAAATTAACAGTTTTGGAAAATAAGTCATTAGAAACGACATCAACACTTTTAGAAATTTGCAAGTTTCATTTATTTAATCATATTTGGGTAACAGCAGTTACTAGTAGCAACTGCTCAGTATTGTGCATGATATATGCTGAAGGTTTATAGCTGAATTTTCGTGCAATGTCTTGGATACATATAAATATAGTGTAGCCTTTAGCTTCAACATGGGGCGTCTTGCTTGATAATTTGTTCAAAACATGTCCCTGTATCTGTGCATTTGTTGACCCTTTTAATATTGATCTTTACAGTTTTCTGTTTTACACCTGTTTTGTTGGTTTTAACATGTAATAACACCACCTGAGTTTTACTCCAACTCATTAATATGCAAGTGATTGAAAGCTCCAATACACCAATAAATAATCTGATAAATTGTCCTTGTTGAGCATGGGGACTAAGTTTAGATGACTGTGCATAGTAGCCAGGCTGCTACTGGTAAGTTGTCAGTCTCTCAAACTAGAGCGATGCAGAAAATTGTAATGCACTATGAATGAAGGGCCAAATAGCTGATTGCATTTTGGAATTTAGAAGGCTAATTAAAGTGTATTAAACAGTAGCATTATTGAGATATGTTTATTGTAGACTGTAAAATCTCATTCTGTGATTGTTTTATTATTTTATCACTTTTAAAATCTCATTTTGTAGTTGTTTTAATATAATTTCGCAACTTATTTAACATGTATCTAATGCTTTGAAATGCACTGATATTGTAGATAGTTCAAGTGAATGTGCTCTTAACTGAAGAATGAGTATTTTTGGGTCATCTTCCCCCTAAATTCTTTCCTCTTCTGAAAAATATCTGTTCTGGTTTGAGAATTTATAGCTAAGTTTAATTATAAATTCAGGAATTATAGAAAAGTCAGATAATAACAAGGCTCCATGTGCCTCAGGGCTTGTTCCCAATGGAACTGTTGTTCTAGGCAGATTGATCCAACTGCGCGAAGATTATTACTTAATGCAATTAGATTAGCAGATTAACATACCCTTTCCTAGCGTTGAGTAGAATACAGAAAAAGTGGCAATTATACGAATATGTTGGAAACAAGAGGAGGCATTTTAATCTGTTAATCTAATTGCATTCATCAAGAATAGGCGTGGAGTTGGATCAATCTACCTAGAACAATAGTTTTATTGGGAATTGGTACTTACTCTTTTTTGTATTTTGACTCTAGCTCAGTCCCAGCTGCCAGAATGGGCCATAGCTATCATCGTTGTCGTGTGCGTCCTGGTCATTCTGGCCGTGGTCATTGCGGTGGTCATCATGAAGAGGAGGAAAGGCAACAAAGAAAAAAGTAAGTGATTTTAAAAAGTAAACCTGCTTGTATGTTAGAGTGTTAAAACTGACACTCAAGGCTAAAAATTTGAAAAGCCCTCACCCCGCACTCCCAAGAGAATTTAGCCTTCACTCACTTTTCAGATATAAGTGTAAGTAACAGGTTGTTTTATGCTTTGAATGATATGATTATTTCCCATTTAAGCTGCCACTGAGTTCTTATAGTTTTGGTTGAGTTTTTGGATGTACATATGTCAACTTGAGCTGGATTGTCTTTGCAAGAATTAAGATTTATTAAAAATGCACATTTTTTTTTTCAGCTCTTGTGGACAACAAACCCCCAAACAAGTAAGTAGATTGAAGATTTGAGAGAGAGAGAGAGAGAGAGAGAGAGAATCCACATGGCAATTATTTGAGTAGACTGAAAATTATTGATAAACATACTTTGGCATAAATTTTAAACTGACTAGTAAAATATTGTCTGTATACATGATCCACTGGGTTGCCTTATATCTGCTGCTTGCTGTTCTATAGCTACACCCCTGAGGCTTATAACGGACCATACCCAGCACCCGACGTCTTAGACAGCAGTCAGCGCTATCCAGACTATGGCATGGACACGCCACCAAGGAAACCGCCCATAAATGATCAGTATGATGTAAGTGGCTCCACCTATCACTGTGTATTCACATGTTGTAGTTTATTGTTGTAGATTGTCTCAAGGGACGAATACCAAGGACGCCTTTGATGGGGACGTAAGTTGGTGTGGTCACAGGCTGGTGACCTAGATACAGTGACCCAGATACTGTATTTAGGTCATTACTCCAACAGGGATGTTTGTATGGGAGATATTGCTCTAAACACTTGGCTTCTTTTTTTTTTTTTTTGTCCTTTCTCACCACGTTAAAAAAAATGAATGTTAAATAAACCACAAGTGCATCATTTATCTCTTTTCCTCTGAAAAGAATGCTTTAACAGTCACATTTAAGTGTCCACTTCTATTGGTCAGTCAAGTGTTTTGATCAACTGGACTCAGGCCATTTTGTTAGGGTGAAGCCAATTTATAAAATTAAGGAAAATTTTAAAAACATTTTCCAACAACTTAATATTGATTCTACTTAATATTTTGTCATTTGTTGGCTCATTGGCTAAAATGGCGACCAAATTGTTTGAGTCCAGTACAGTGCTGCCCCCTGTTGGATGAACTGAACATCTGTGTGAGATGATGTGACCATGCATGTTCTGCTATTTCAAATCTACTGGAACTTAGATAAATAGCATGCTAGATAACCATATTAGGCTGTAACATATGAAAGTCGAACTATTCTACAAAATATTTTTGGCACAAGATGATAAAATAAATGCAGTAAATTTCTGTAGGTAGCCAAAAAATTAAAAGGGACAGCATGCTAGTTGAGTATATAGACTTTGAAAAATATTTGAAAATTTCACCATTGGTTCATGTAGTTTTGGGTCAAGATGATGAAATAAGTGGGATAGACATAATTTCTGTAGGTATTAGCAAAAAATGGGGGAAGATTGTTTATTAATATCAAAAGCATGGCTGCCTTGCATGTCTTCATAAGCTGACTCATGGCAGTTACACCTACACGGCATGAGTGATATCAGCTTGTTTTTCACATCCAATCTGTTCACTTTGACAAGCAGTTTGCATGGAATGGAACTGATTTGAATTTTTTTCTGCAGTGACAGTTTTGTCTTTTGTATGGTCACTCATGTCAGGAATCTTAAGGTGCCCCAAAACTGTAGAATTATTTAATTTTGTGGCATTGGAAATAATCTGTAGTGGAGATAGTGTTCCATTTACTTAGTGCCAAGGTGTATATTTTAATTCACCCAGTTGTAGTTTAGGTCAAATTAAAAAAAAAGAAAATTGAATTTCATACTCTGTGTAAATGTTTAGTATGAGATTGAGTTTTCATCCTTTATTTTATCTTTCAACTTCAGTTTGATGGTCCTTTTCATTGTCAGGGTCATTTTGACTAGTAATTCTGTTCTTGTATGAGGTATAGAGGCAAACATATACTGACAGTTATTAAGTGTAGAGAAGTATTTAATGGTTGTGGATATATAGTCTCGCCTCCTAGTTTTAAACCCCTTTTTTTGAATGGGGGGTCTTTTTGATATGATTCATTCATGTTTAAAAGTTCAATTATTTTAAGATAGTATCAGTGAAATGAAAAGCAGCATGACTGTGATTTAAATCACTTGAAATTTGACTTGAGAAATTTTTCATGTGCATGCCATGTTTTTTATTGCCCTGAATCTCTGTCATTTATCTCATCTATCCAGCTATACTGTTTCCATTTTGTCATAGCTTTCATTTCTTTTTTTCCAAACAAGGTGTGCTATGTGTCTACATACTTCAACTTTTTTTTTTCTTTTTTTTTCGCAACTTAAATTTGAATTCTTTGTGTTTACAGCCCAGGAGTCGTAACGTGGAAAACCTGGTGTATGCAGAGTTGGCGTTGGACGACACTCCGCGCAGTCGCAAGCCCATCCAAGCAATGCAGTTGGATAACAGTGTGGAGTATGCTGAGATTAAGAGGGTGTAGTGACCACACAGATCACAGAAACTGACCATGTGTAACCTCTAAGAGGTCAAATGGAGCTGACATGAAATACTTGGCCACACTGGATTTATTAATGATAAAAGGTTAAGACAAAATATGTCAGTGATAAAGTCAGATATTGGAAGAGGGTGGTTGAAAAGAGCAGGTTTTGATATTATAACTGAGAGCAAAAGAGACACAAGCAGTGTGTGAATGGAATGAAAATGAAACTGGGTCAACGAAGTGAAAATGAAACTGGGTCAACAAAACTGAAAGTGAAATTGACACTATGTTTTTGGCCCTTGCTATGATTGGGTAGATACATTTCAGATGGTGACATTTGGTTTGTACCCAGGGAGTTGTTTCTGATACTCAACGAAAGGAGGAACGTTAACATCAGCATATCACTCAACATACATGAGACTCCCTACGAGAGTGGAGTGCACCAAACTCTGTGGAAAGCAAGCTACTTTCTTTCACAAAGTGCATACGTAATTGACTCCAGCTGTTGTACTTTTCTTCATATATTTATCAAAAATAATGAGAAATTAATGTCAGAAAAGCATTTAGTTTTCTATACTCTATAAGATGGGTACTCCTGTAAGTTAAGTAGAATAGGTTGTTTGCAGGTTCCTCCAAACCATTATATCTTCCATTTATAATTTGTATTTCTAAACATGGAAGCAATTAATGCCATTTTAGTGTATTCTGTTGCTCTGACACCAGTACTAGTTGCGTAGTTTTTGCCAGGTGTGATAACCCGGCGTTAAAATGTCAGTAAGAAGGTACGTAGATACTTGAGTGTTATTATCTCTAATACAAAGATCGCCAGTGCTGGAAAGCTGGGGTCACATATTTAGAATGGTATCCAAGCCTGGAGGTAAAAATTGAGAAAAGATAACAGGCATCTTTCAGCAGCCATATTGGAACAGTTTTGTAATTAGAAAAAGGTGTATATTTTGCATCATTGCAGCATGCAGGTCGAATGCACTTCGATTATCTTTCTTATAAAAAAATTCATTAAATCAGTTGTGTGTTGTTATATTAACTAGCTAGTCTCTTTTGGTTTTAGCCTAGTTTATTGCAAGAGAAAGGATGGTCTGTTGTCTCTCTCTCTCTCTTAGTCTGTCCAGTCTGTAAAATATAAACAAGTGCTCAGCATTTTTAATCAAGTTGCAATATTGTTGAAATAATTGTTCACTATTTATATATATGCATGCAAATAGACAAATAGAATATTATAGCTTTTGCTTGCAGGCTTATTGTAGAGTAGATGTTATATTGTAAGATCTTTGCAGGGATCATTTTAATTAATGATATATAAAAGTTCATATCAATTGATGTTCATATCAGACTATTACATTTGTCAGCCTTAGCTTAGAACACGTTTTATTAATCAACTTTTGAAAGTATAGCCCTACTGTACAGCACACTTATCAGATCTTGATATTTTATTTTGCATATATTTGATTAATCCTTGAAATTGTGTGAAAAAATCATCTTAAATGCAATCTTGATCCTTTTAGGAAACATTTAAAGATGTACATAGCTTAATTGATCATGGACACTAGTTCTTTAGCTCTTCAGTATCAGTTCCTGTTAAATATTTTTAGAAATTAATGCTTTGAGTACAGAAACAACAAGAAAAGATTTTGTATATTTTTAAGGAAATATTTTTATCCTATTTCAATACAAGATATGTGATTAATACATCCGCCCAAATTCCATCATTCCATTCACTGTTAGGCCCATTTTACATTGTGTGGTTCACCTTTCTGTTTCACATTATTTTGCCTTTGGGGATGGGGGGGGGTTATCAATTTCACAAGCACATTTCTAACTGCATTGGGGGGGGGGGTACATTTAGATTACTGTCTTATATATTAGCCAGTTTAATAAGTAGTCAATCTGAAAAAAATGTTGCGAAACATAAAAGTGAACCACAAGATGTGAAAAGAGCTTTAAAGTGCACTATGCAGCAATGTCTTAATCGCCCATCTCTTTGTGGCCCTTTTTGTATTGGAACTAGTCTGGGTCATGAAAAGAAGCCTAAAAGCAAGGTCACTTATTGGTTAACAGTGTTTTCTTATTGGTCACCTTTGTGGAAACCATCTTTCCCCAGATCATCAGCATCATGATGGCCTATAAGGTTCTAGAGAAAATCTATGTGCACCAAGGCAGAGGCACTTTTCTATCCCACTGGTGTGATTTTCGGGACATCCTCTCTGCAAATCCCATTTGAAAGGCTTCATGTTGGCATGACACAGCTTTGTAATAAACCACAGATTTTGACACATATCACTTTCTAATAGAATAGAAATTTAATATTTAACAGCATTAAACTTTTTCACGCCTTGTGTAAGGTGTAGGAAATATCAAAGTTGATAAGCCACAAGGACACTTTTGGTGTGAAATGTATAAGTCAGTGACGTTATTGCACTAATGAAACTAAGAGGTCTGTTTATATTCAGGTTAGTAAAGGATGAAGTTAGTGCATATTTCATGTAAATATTGTAGATGTATTATTCACTTAAGAAGTGGCAAACAGTGCTAGGTTTTTTAGCAGTTAACTTTCACCATTGGATCAGCAAAAGGCACCCCAAGTTGTAAAAGGATGCTGGGAACTGTCTTCACCCCATTCTATTTTGTAGTAAGGATATAGCAAAGATATGCAGATTTGAAAGAAGTTGGTTTCCAGTGTTCTCTTAAACTCAGGATGGTCAAAGATTTTCTGTGCAGAAAAAAAACTTATCAGCCATTTTTCAACAATAGGGCACCCTACTACCATCTGGTGACAAAGATTGACACTAAATCTAGTCTGTGTGTAGAGAATGAGTGACCAAATTTATTTGGATGAAAAAAAATCACTAGAAAGCAGTGGTTTGTTGTGAGAATCTTTGTACTATTTTGTTAAATTATTTTTAAGGTATAAGATGGACAGTCCTTTGTAAAGTTGGACATCTGCACTGCATGCTATGGCGAAGACTTGAGAACAGCAATTTATATAGTAACGCACCAATGGAATCTTTTCCAACAGCGTCTTACTGATAGTATTCTAGCTATTATCCTACAAAAATGTAAACCAGATAAATTGTATTAAACCAGTTTGAATTCACTCTTGACTGATCGTGATTCTTTCCGTTTTGCATTCAGGCAGCGCTAGAAGCTAGCGGATGAAAGGAGATATTCTGAAAGTTGGAAGAAATATTCTGAAGCTTTGAATTTGTTTCTGCAGTTGCAATTTGTCCTGTACCCTTTGACGTTGAAGGGGTTTCGAAAGGGGCTTTGAAACTGGTCCCAAGCCACATTTTGTTTGTCTATTTATCTTCCAAAGCTACTCATCTTTAAAAATTCAAACATGTATGCACGAAAATCAAGATCGTGCAAAATTGCTTATACCCCCTTTACGCTGGACGGGGTCCTCTTTGCGACCATGAAATTGCCATCGCTGTGGTCGTAATAAGGACGCATGAGCCTTGATTTGGTTTCAGAATTCATGCTCACTGATTGGCCAGTTGTCGGCACGTAAAGTATTATAATTTTTTTACTCTTAAACGGGGTACAGTGTAAAGGGGGCTTTACTGGTCGCAATTCATGGCCCATAAAAATACCTCCAGGTAGTTGATTTTAAGATAGTTTGAAATTCATGGCACATTACTGTATGCTCGCAGTAAATTACAGATTTTGGCACCTGGCATTTTCTTTCATCCCAAGCTTCTTCTCTGAAGTTCAGATCGAGTGCTTTCTGAAAAATAAAAATGTAATAATTGTCAGTATTAAACTTTTCCGCACTCTGTGTGAGGTGTGAGATCTTTCTAAGTTTAAAAGTTGCCCGGACACTTTTGGTGTGAAATTGTAAAAGTCAGTGACATTATTGAACTGATGAAACCAAAAGGTGGGTTTATATTCAGCTTAGCAAAAGATACATATGGGATCAAGTGCATACTTAATGTAAATATTGTAGAAGGCAGAGGATTGAAGGAATCCTAATTTGAGGCGATGCCAATTTTAGTNGAATCAGTTGTGTGTTGTTATATTAACTAGCTAGTCTCTTTTGGTTTTAGCCTAGTTTATTGCAAGAGAAAGGATGGTCTGTTGTCTCTCTCTCTCTCTTAGTCTGTCCAGTCTGTAAAATACAAACAAGTGCTCAGCATTTTTAATCAAGTTGCAATATTTTTGAAATAATTGTTCACTATTTATATATATGCATGCAAATAGACAAATAGAATATTATAGCTTTTGCTTGCAGGCTTATTGTAGAGTAGATGTTATATTGTAAGATCGTTGCAGGGATCATTTTAATTAATGATATATAAAAGTTCATATCAATTGATGTTCATATCAGACTATTACATTTGTCAGCCTTAGCTTAGAACACGTTTTATTAATCAACTTTTGAAAGTATAGCCCTACTGTACAGCACACTTATCAGATCTTGATATTTTATTTTGCATATATTTGATTAATCCTTGAAATTTTGTGAAAAAATCATCGTAAATGCAATCTTGATCCTTTTAGGAAACATTTAAAGATGTACATAGCTTAATTGATCATGGACACTAGTTCTTTAGTTCTTTAGATTCAGTTCCTGTAAAATATTTTGAGAAATTAATGCTTTGAGTACAGAAACAACCAGAAAAGATTTTGTATATTTTTAGGTGAATATTTTTATCCTATTTCAATACAAGATATGTGATTAAAGCATCCGCCCAAATTCCATCATTCCATTCACTGTTAGGCCCATTTTACATTCTGTGGTACACCTTTCTGTTTCACATCATTTTACCTTTGGAGGGGTTATCAATTTCACAAGCACATTTCTAACTGCATTTGGGGGGGTGGGGTACATTTTGATTACTGTCTTATATATTAGCCAGTTTAATAAATAGTTAATCTGAAAAAAATGTTGCGAAACATAAAAGTGAACCACAAGATGTGAAAAGAGCTTTAAAGTGCACTATGCAGCAATGTCTTAATCGCCCATCTCTTTGTGGACGTTTTTGTATTGGAACTAGTCTGGGTCATGAAAAGAAGCCTAAAAGCAAGGTCACTTATTGGTTAACAGTGTTTTCTTATTGGTCACCTTTGTGGAAACCATCTTTCCCCAGATCATCAGCATCATGATGGCCTATAAGGTTCTAGAGAAAATCTATGTGCACCAAGGCAGAGGCACTTTTCTATCCCACTGGTGTGATTTTCGGGACATCCTCTCTGCAAATCCCATTTGAAAGGCTTCATGTTGGCATGTCACAGCTTTGTAATAAACCACAGATTTTGACACATATCACTTTCTAATAGAATAGAAATTTAGTATTTAACAGCATTAAACTTTTTCACGCCTTGTGTAAGGTGTAGGAAATATCAAAGTTGATAAGCCACAAGGACACTTATGGTGTGAAATGTATAAGTCAGTGACGTTATTGCACTAAAGAAACTAAGAGGTCTTTTCATATTCAGCTTAGTAAAGGATGAAGCTAGTGCATATTTCATGTAAATATTGTAGATGTATTATTGATTCACTTAAGAAGTGGCAAACAGTGCTAGCTTTTTTAACAGTAAACTTTCACCATTGGATTAGCAAAAGGCACCCAAGTTGTAAAAGGATGCTGGGAACTGTCTTCACCCCATTCTATTTTGTAGTAAGGATATAGCAAAGATATGCAGGTTTGAAAGAAGTTGGTTTCCAGTGTTCTCTTAAACTCAGGGTGGTCAAAGATTTTCTGTGCAGAAAAAAAAACTTATCAGCCATTTTTCAACTATAGGGCACCCTACTACCATCTGGTGACAAAGATTGACACTAAATCTAGTCTGTGTGTAGAGAATGAGTGACCAAATTGATTTGGATGAAAAAAAATCACTAGAAAGCAGTGGTTTGTTGTGAGAATCTTTGCACTATTTTGTTAAATTATTTTTAAGATATAAGATGGACAGTCCTTTGTAAAGGTGGACATCTGCACTGCATGCTATGGCGAACACTTGAGAACAGCAATTTATAGTAACGCACCAATGGAATCTTGTTCAACAGCGTCTTACTGATAGTATTCTAGCTATTATTCTACAAAAATGTAAACCAGATAAATTGTATTAAACCAGTTTGAATTCACTCTTGACTGATCGTGATTCTTTCCGTTTTGCATTCAGGCAGTGCTAGGAGCTAGCGGATGAAAGGAGATATTCTGAAAGTTGGAAGAAATATTCTGAAACTTTGAATTTGTTTCTGCAGTTGCAATTTGTCCTGTACCCTTTGACGTCGAAGGGGTTTCGAAAGGGGCTTTGAAACTGGTCCCAAGCCACATTTTGTTTGTCTATTTATCTTCCAAAGCTACTCCTCTTTAAAAATTCAAACATTAAACATGTATGCACGTAAAATCAAGATGGTGCAAAATTGTTTACTGGTCGCAATTCATGGCCCATAATAATACCTCCAGGTAGTCAATTTTAAGATCGTTTGAAATTCGTGGCACATTACCGTATGCTCGCAGTAAATAA